TTGCTCACGAGATGCGTTGGCGTTGCCTTTGCACCAAAAGTTGGCAATGGCATTTGGTGCCGCTACACCCACTTTTTATTTTGACACTGCCAGCAAAGGAACCTTTGTCCGCCTGAGCTTGACTCTTGTGGTTGCGCTTGAGCCCCAGCTTAAGTCTCAGTTTCAGCCAGAGTCTTGGCCTGGCCTGGGTTTTTTTTATTTTTCCCTGCCAGTCAGGCTCAGTTGCGCATTTAGCCGTGCATTTAGTCGCCGGGTCTTTTGGGCTGGCATTTGAACTTATTGCCACAGTTGGGCGCGCTGTCATAAAACCAAAATAAAAACCGATGAGGGAAAACAAAACTCTGCAGGCTAGCATATATGTGAGTGTTGCTCTTAAGACATAAGCGTCGTTTGGGGGAAAACTAAGGAGGATTTTATAAATCAAAAGGGTACACTTAACTACTTAACTACAACTTAATTTGAGCACATAAAACAGCTTTTAAATTACTGAAGGGTTTAAATGACTTTATTTTGCTGCTAAAACGATTCACTAATTTGGTTCTCATTTGTACATTATTTCTTCTCCTGGATTCTCAACCCAAAGTAACCCTTTAAATCTCCACCAGTGAAGGAGCTTACTTACACCGACAGCCTGTTTATGGCTTAAAACAAAAGCCACAAACGCCAAGACACTCTGTGCCATGTGTGCCCTTTGGCACTTTATTTTTCTCCAGTTGCATGGCCTCGTCGTCTTTGGCTCAGCTGAAGATCCAGGCTGTGGACCCGGCCCAGAAGTCCCAGCCTGAGCCCGATTTCTTTCTTTTTTTGGCTTTCGGGAGTGGGTGAAACCTTGACTTGGCTGTGGAAAATCCTTTAGAGCGTAGCTAATTAAAATATCAACAATTTAAGAGGCGTGGTGAATGTGTTAAATTGACTTTTCTCGAGGGTGGTTTTGTCAAAGCCCGATGACTTTTCGGTGAGTGGGTCGTAATGCGAAAAGCCTGACCCCCACAGCCCCACTCCACTCCAAATGCAACTGGGGGTCAACGTTGGCATTTGGCAAAGTTGCATTCGTGAGAAGTGCCCCCACAGACCTTTGGCTAATTAAGTTGCAATTAAATGTTTTAATAGCTGAGAGGCCCGCTGCCTCTTTGCCGTCGAGCCAACATCCGTCGCCGTCGGTTGGTAAACGGCTACAAAGCTACGAAATGCGTGGCGTCCAAATGAGGAGCGCGCCTCATTAAAGCGCTCACGATCAGGGGCTATTACCAAAAGACGTGCAATGCTCCCAATGCAATTGCAAAAAAATGAGTGAAAAAGGGTAAAAGGGAAAATATTAAAAAAGCAAAAGGATATTAAAAAAGAATTTCATGGTGAAAGGTAAATGCTCTGTAGAAACAAATTCAGTAGTTATTACTTAAGAAAGCACATATTGGATACAAGAACCTACGATTTTTATAAAAGTAAATATTTAGATATATGGAAAAAATAGAAAAAAGTTCGCTTACACTAAAAGTTAAGTAAAACGAAAGGAATTGTTTATTGTATTATTTGTATTCCAATTTAAAGAATACATAATATAAGACTAGCGATGGTGTCTTTGTTTTATGTAGGCAAATGCTGTCTTTTATGAGTTCCAGCCTCGAGTGTGGAAGGGCATCTAAACAGGGCCTCGACAGCTTCCTTTTACAACCTGGCTCCAACGTGGTCGCCGTCTGCGCTTTAGTCGCCGTTGTTAAAGGGCTGCGCATGCGCAGAACACATGCCGTGGGCACTGGTCGCTTTTGAAGTTGCTCTCGCTTTTTGTTGTTGCTGTTGTTGTTGTTGTTGCTGCTGCTGCGGCCCTTTGCCACTGCTGCAATAAACGTCAAAATGCGGCCCATTGCTGTCCATTTCATCAACGTGTGAAATAAATCACTCAAAGTGCTGCAGATCCATTAAGGGCAGCCGCATTTGCGGCAGCAAAAGCATGAGCAAAAGCAAAAGCAACAATCCCAAGCAAAAGCAGCAGCAGCAGCAGCAATGAGAATCGCTGTCGTCGTCGTCGTCGCGTTGCCTTTGTGGTAAATACATTTTTAGCATTTTGTCTGCTGATACCTTTGGGTGTTGTACATGGCAGCGACGACTTCGGATGATGACGATGTCGACGGCTGCTGCTGCAACAATAAAGACGCAGGCAGGCGGCCCGTTTGCCAGTGGCCACGCTTTATTTTTTCTCCTTTTTTTTTTGTATTTTTTTTACCTTTACCATCATGCACAGTTCCCCCATCAATTGCATGCTGTTCACCTCATGCAATTTCAGTCCTTACCTTGGACTCTGTTCCACCGACTTTGACTTTCCATCTGGGTTGTTTTCCTTTTCGGCGTGCTACGCGCCATGGCAACATGCAAAAATCCAAATTATATTTTATTGCTTAAATTCAATTAACGGCGGGCAGGAAAAGTACTCGAAATCAAAATTACAAGAGCCTGCTTGGCCTTTTATTCGGTTCTCAGTGAGATGCAGCTGGGAGGTACATATATACACTCGTACCCAAGTGCACTAAGCCCAGATTCATATTCCGAATCCGAATCCCACTCTCGGATCGGAGTTGCCGGTTCTCCGTTCTCCGTTCTCTGGGGCAACAGTAACGAAAGCGAGGCTCGCCATTAATTCAAGGCAGGCATCAAAACAAGTGCCTGCCACTGCAGCCCCGGCTGGCTGGCGTAGGTAAACAGAAAGTTGATTGAAAGTTCCAGCCGGTGCAGCTGGAAAATGAAAACGACAGAGGAAGTGAAACCCATGGAAATCAGGGGCAGCAAGAAGAATAGATTTGGCTCAATTATATGCAGAAATATGCGGGGAAAATGAGGAAAACCCAAATTGAAAATCACCAATTTAATGAAAAAAAATTTGTGATTTTAAATGGTTAAATTTAACCGGAAATTTATTGATAAATGAAAAGTAACTAAACTACAAAGTTAACGCCTCCGGATCTTTAATCTCTAAGTTTGTATTTTGTAATTATAATAATACTCGTTTTAAAAATAAGAAGATAAAATAAATTAATCTCTTTATGAATTAAAACCACAAACTAGTTTTGCCTTTAACTTAATCCGAAAACAATGCCTTAATAAGCAATTTAAAAGGCAATACGCTGATGCAATAATTAATTCATAATATCGCAAATGCGAAAACAACCTCTGGCAGATATCAATCAAGGTGCATAAATATTGGCTTCACCACCCACTCATTAAGGCAACCCCTCAAGCTACCAAGTACACATTTTATTCCTTTGCGAATTCGCTTGGGGGCTTGTACTCTCTGGTCATTGTCTTAAAATGCAACTAATTGCTTTAATTTGCAGCACACACTCACTCACAAGCAGCACACACTTGTAACAACAGGCATTCATTGACGCATATAAATCTTATAGGAACTCTTTCTACTTAATTAGTTTTAATGTCGCACAAACAAAAGCGCATAACTAACAATTAGGCCGTTGGTACTCATAAACTGTAATACGCAACTATGTGCATATTGTGTGGCTTTTGGTAAATATGTACATATTTTGCAAGTGAGTGTGGAGCATAAATCTTAATTACGCTTCGTCGAGCGTAAATCATCATCAGCTGGGAGCCCAAGTCTCGGCATTTTGGTCGCAGAAACGCAGGCCGAAATTGATTCATGCGAGGAAGGAGTTCTCCAGAAAGGCTCCACCGAACTTTGACAATTCGTTCGGCAGCTCTGAGTTTTTACGATTCCCGCTGCCAGACTGACTGACGACTGTTCTTATTGCTAAATCATATTTGAGGATTATTTAAATAAGCTTATGAGATGCACCGATCCCTGAATTTCTTCTTTTGCAACTGAAGGGTCATTGGTTAACAAGAAGGCGAATCTAATATCTTCTACGGGCAGTTAGCATCCTTTATGGCTCCTCTGAGCATCAGGTTCGCCGGTCGGCGTAATTCAAAAACGAAATTTTTACAAGTTGTAAAGATTAAAAGTCCATTAGCCGGGCCGCAGTCACAGTGGAAGCCGCACGTATAACTTGTTTGGACCATCCCAGCATCCATTTAAATGCGCGCAATGCAATCACTCAAATTGGCCAAAGCGCCAGAACGTGCAGATGGCAGAGAGTTGGTTGGAGTTTGGTTGGGACGAAACGGGCCAAAACGGGACGAAACGGGGCGGAATTACATGAAATATTTTAATCCACAAGATGCGGTTAAGTGCATCCATCAGCGCGTATTTAGAATTTAATAAATACGGAAGCGAGAACACGACGCCGAACACGATTCCCTAGCCAAATGCACTTCGAGAGGTATTTTAATTTATTTAAATTTTCTGGCCTCTCTCGCACATAACCGAGTGCAATTTGGCGTCCGATGGCGAGAAGGAGGTGCACACGACTCTGCCGGCCAGGTAAGAAAAGTGAACATCCATTAGTTGTGCTAATGATGCGCAACCCACTTTGCAGCGTTCCGCCCCAAGTAGAACTCCAGATGCACCGGAGCTCCTTTTCCCTACTCTGCCACAGATCCGCAGCCAAAGTCAAAGCCAGCAGCCAAAGCCAAAGCCAAAGCCAACAGCCAAAAGCCAGTGTCCTGTGCCGGGCAACTTAGCCAGCTTCTCGGCTACTTTGGAACGCATTTGGCCAGTTCGGTTAGTTAGCTGCGCTCATCTGTGTGTGCGGCTAATGTAAGTGGCCAAGAAAGGGAGTGCAAAGTGGCAACGGGAATGGCATCCGCTGCAAAGCAGATTTGCTTAGTGAAATAGTCAGAATAGCAAATGCGGTGAGTGCTAAAAACTTTCCGTTAACGAGTGTATTTTGTGGACTTTATTGAACTACACTTGCACTTTTGCACTCACAGCAGGCTGCCAAAACAAGAAAGCCAAAGGTGTTTGCTAAAGATACATTAAATATATGCAAGCAATTTTGTTTCTGACTGAAGAAACAAATTAAGTCGAATTAAGTGTTACATTTCGCCAGAGTTTGACATTTTTAGGAACAAAATATTAAATTCGAATAAGTTAGAAGGTTTTCAACTCTTTATTAAATTCCAGGTACTCTTTTACAAATAAACCTGAAAAGTAAAAAGTGAATCATATTAGGTAAAGGTTGCATAAAAGCATTTTTAGTAGCTACCATTAACTGATTCAAGTAGAACTCATAAGGTATGTGTCCGCTTATTGGATCTATGGCCACTGGCCACATCTCATCCATCTCCTCCTGGGTGAAAGGTTCACCCTCCTCCATCATGAGTTTCCCAAAAGTTTCCTTGGTCAAGTAGCCCTTATTTTCCGGATCCAATATCTTGAAGGCTTGCAGAATTTTCTCCGGCGGAGCGGGTTCCATTCTAATATAGAAATGTTTATATTAAGTTTAGTAAAGTTGACTTAGCATAAAGGACTTTAACTTACTTTCTTTCCATTAGCAACTGCGAGACATGGGGCAAAAATTTGGTCAAATGCACTTCGCCACTGGTCTCCTCCGATTCTGTGGCCGAAATAACCTCGTTTACCTCCTCCTCAGTGGGAACACAGCCCAAAAGTCTGAGAACAGTGCCAACTTCTCGCACGTCTATGAACTTGTCGCCATGATGATCAAACACACAAAAGGCATCCGAAATGCGTTTCTCCAAGTCGTTGTTTACTAAAGAATATTTATACTTTAGAATTATATAACTTAATTTATAAAATAAAGCTCCTTACAATCCATATCCATGTTGAAGGCTTGAGTTTTTCAATTCGACTGAGACAAGTTGTGGGTGGAAAGTATTAAATCAATAAATCAGCAAAACAAATATTGTTGCTAGGGGTGATTAGAAAGAAATGAAGAATGAATCATATTGTCTTGTAAGCTTTTAAGTACCTATTTGTTAAGGCTTACCATGATTTTCTGTTACAAAGAAGTAGCTTTAACTGGTCGTTTTCGTTTTGGATCGACTGAATCCAAATCCACACAAGGCGGGCCCATAATGCCACAGTAAAAACCTCCATAAGGCGGACCATTAGGCAGCTCATGGAGGCCGTCATATTGGCCCATTACCATTTCGCCGATCCAGTGGCTGGTGAGCAGTCTGGTAAGGAACACGGAAGTTTTCCCTCGCCTTTCCTGGCTGCCTGGCCAGCAGCAACAAGTGCATTTTCGGAGCTGTGCCCACTTTAATGGAAATTACTGCAGAGCTCGCCATTAATTTTCCCGCACATTTGTCTAGCCATCTGAGCTGCAGTTCAGTTTTCAGTTTTCAGTTTCCAGACTCTGTCTCTCAGTCTCAGTTGTTCAGTTTGAGGCCGGGCTCTCAACGCATTCGATTCGATTAAAAAATGGCAAAGGCAAGTACGAGAACTGCTCCATTCACGCTAATGCGTGTCGTGTACAACACGCTTGCCACTTGAGCCATTCTGCCGCATCGCCTAGATTCCCCACTTGCCTGCCCCACCTGCCCCACCAGCCCCACCAGCCCCACTTGCCTCCGATTTGCCGCAGTTCCCTGCCATCATCACCATCGAATCCACGTACACACTTGCCTATCTGCCGCAATCTCCTCCTTGGCTGGGCCTCTGGATCCCTGCATCTGGATGTGGTCTTCCACTTGGAGTTGGTCTTTCGACTGGATCTGGGCCTGGGCTACTGCCATAAACACTAAAAGTGTTCGTCATTTGCTGTTCCAGATCCAATTAACCATTTTGATGCATTTGCCTCCATTAACTTTTTCTCTTTCTCTCGGGCCCTTTTGCCAAGGCTCACTGCCAGTCTGCAACACAGAAAAAAAGGTTAACTATCAACCAGATAAAGTAAAGTAACTAAATTTTTTCTCAACTGTAAAAACTGTAAATTATATAAAAATGAAGATATAATTATATATTAATAAAGATAAAGATAATTTATAAAGATTTTTCTAAAATAAATAACATCTTAATATGTTTACAAAGTCTTAGAACTTTCCTATAAAAAATTAAATCAAAGTACAATAATTCGATCACCCTTCCTTTTCCCATAAACTTTTCTTGCCGTGTGCAATTTTGCTGCTGACTTACAACGTGATCGGAAGTTTGTCTTAGCCCATCTCCAGCATACCATACATATACCATACACCATATACCCCGACTATATCTGACGACGTGTCCGTGACTCGGAGAGGCTCATACGAGCTCGGTCTTTGGGGCCGGGGCTGCTGCAAAGTACTTTGTAAATGTTGGCATGATTTAAGTCGGCTCTTAGTCTCTTTATTCTGACATTTACCCCAGGTTTGTCTATTAGGCATGCGATTAAAATTTAAATTGAAGTCGCGCAGACACCGCTGCGGGATTGGGTTTCAGTATATCGTTTGTGGCCGGGCGATTCTTTTATAGAACCAACCACGCCCGTTGCAATCTTGGCCGGCGAGTTCCGGTTACTGCCCTGCGTTTTGCTCATCTGTCAATTTCGACACCTGTGGCAGACACTTCGGGGACTTGGACACGGGACATGGGAAGTGTTTCCTGTTGGGGAAATGGCCCTGGGTTAAAGGAAGAAATCCATTTGCATAGAAATAAGACAGCGATCGCAGTGCCGGCAAGCAATTAAGTCGCTGCTAATTTATTTTGAATTTAGTTCAAAGATCTTTATTAATCAATCCTAAAACCCTTCACTTGGTCTATTGGCAATCATATATATTAAGGTCACATCCACTCCAATCGATTGCCCTTTTCAGACGCCAATCGAAAATGCCATTTTCCATTAATAAACAATCATTATTATGATTTCATATTTTTTGCATTTAATGCTCAATTGAAATGGCGTTACAATGCGTGCGTATGTAGACTGGAGTAATTAAATGGAATTTAATAAACATAAACATCCGAATAATGAATGCTACCTTTCACAGCAGCCAGCAGAACTGGCCAGTAAGCGGAAAACTCCGGACAAAAGGCGGCCCAGAAACTTTTGTTGAATTAATTAGAGTAAAAAGGCTGCCAGACAGCAGCCGCAGCTACCTTTGTATTCACATACGTTTAAACGATTCGTAAAAAGAATTCAATTCAGGCGAAGTGATATGAAAGAATTGATTAATAATCATAGGTAAAACCACAAAAGACCAACCCAGGGGCTTGATCTGTCCCCCTCTACCACCCCTCCCTACTTTTTTCTGCTTCGGTCTCCCCACCAAAATGCTGAGCTACTGGCAAAAGCCACAAAAGCGCTGACGCCATGGTCCACTCTCGGCTCACATCAAGGCCAATTGGGCTGGCTCCAAGCTTCAAGCTCCAAACTCCGAGCTCCAACGGATCCATGCTTACACAGGAAAAATAAAGTGATTTCCCCTCTTGATATTCAGTGATCCAAGTTATTTTCGATTCAGTGGCATTCTTTCGTGATATTGATTTTCGATAAGACCAAGGTTATAAAATATCTGAAGTATCTATTAACTTTAATCTTTCTTTTCAAACAACTGTAGATTCTCAATATATTTACTGCTTAAAATTTAAATTGAACTTTTCTTCATAATCTACAAATATTCTCATTTCAAGAAGATACCTTTTAAAAACGGTTTGTTCTAAAAAATCTTTTTTTACTGATCTCTATATTTCAAAAATTATTTCCCGTGCTCGACTTCAATTGTGGGCCCGATTCGCGTACACATGTTGTTAGTTGCTGCCGTGCTCCATATTCTGGAAACTCTGAGCTCGGGACTTGACTTTGATTCAATTTCCATATGAAAACATCGATTTGCGTTTGTGCGCCCGCGTCGTCGTAATCAAAGTGTTGTTTATGGAACACGTCCGGCGTGTTTTGCTCTTTTTTTTCCTTTTCTTGTTGGCCCGGCTTGCCGGTGTTGTTGTTGTTGCTGCCTTGTTGGCTGGCTATAAAAAATTGCTCACGGCAACAATTGCGCGCGTCGGCTGAAAAATATGTAGCAACGATTACATTTGCCTATTGCATGGAGGAGCCGTGGCCAAAGCCTGGCCAAAAGCAAACGAGTCGTCGGCCCCAGTCCAAGTCCAAGTCCCGAGTTATGATTGAGTTCTAATGAGTTGAGAAAAATGTATCAAGGAAAACCAGTTCCCGGAATCGCAATTAGATAAGTGGGTTTATTCATGCCACAAACGAGAACTGCAAGAAAGCGCAGCGCAAAAGTCCCAACAAGGAGACTCGGATCGAATCGAATCGAATCCAACGGAGAGTGGATGGGGATCGGGAAATGGAAATGGAAATTGTTTCCACCGAATGGCCTAACAAATGTGTAGCACATTTTATATAATAAGGCGTTACAAATATTTTTCAATTTCATTTATTTATTTCGGTGGGCACCACGAAAAATGGCCATGTCCAAATGAGAAACTAGTTTAACTGGCTGAGCAGGAAGAGCATTTGCAATAGGTTATGCAGAATCGGAATTATCGAGAATATACTGCGGATAATGACAGTGCTATGTGTGCATAATCAAGTGAAGCCATTAGACAGTTAAATAATAGGCCATTTACATTAGGGTCGTGTTCTGCTGTTGAAGAAATCTTCAGCATATATAAGAACACTTTTAAAGCTTTCTGTATTTCTATCCATTTATTAATCATAATAAAATTATACGTTTATTATCAGGGAACTAAAACTTTTCCACGAACTGTAAAATCACCTTAACTAATAATTTCCCATTGGCCGACATTAGTTCCGTTTTATCTCATTCAGCCAGACATTCATTCACCTTTCAACTCGAGATTCTGCACTAGTTTAGGGAATTGGAAGGCGTGAAATATTAATACGGCGAACACGCCTGGTAGCCAAAGGGAAAGGTCGGCCGAGGTCTTCAGTTCCAGCTTCGATTTTCCGTATCTGCCCCAACAGTTAATTGCCTCACTTTCTAGCCGTAAAAATCGACTACGCCCTAATGTGCGTGCCTTTCCAATTACCAAGTCCAAGTTCGAGTCCAAGTGGCCGGCCAGCCCGTCATTAGCCACGTTTACTAATGATTTCCAGCCAACCTAGACCTCAGCCCAAGCCTGGGAAACTGGGAATGAGAACTGTTCCAAGTTTTCGCATGCATGTGATAATGGTTTTTGGCGGCGCTTTGATTTTTTTTCAGCCCGGCCCAATGGGACAGCGAACAAGACAATAAATCAATAATTATTGCAAAATAATATTGCAGCCAAAAAAAAAAATAAGATAAATTGCGGTGTTGTGCAGCGGACGGGCAGGCGTATGACTTAATTTGCCAATTTGAACGCCAAAGGCTAAAGCGTACTTACTTCTTGGCCAAAAAAGGCCAGACAGCTGGCCAAGTTGGCCAGTCGGAGGTCTGGTCGCCCCCTGATCGTTCTAAACGTCAATTTCCGTGCCGGCAGCACTTGGAACTCGAAACTCCGCTGTCTTATTAAGGCCCAAACGCGTGCGCGGTGCCCAGCGATCGAAAAGCCGGGCCAAAAGCGAACAGCAGCCCGCAAAACGAAAAAAAAATAAGAATTCTATTATGCTCATGCCACACAATGTGATTAACTTGTTGACCCTGTCGAAAGAGCAAACAATAAAAGTGGGTATTCTTGTAAATTTAGAACGGATTTTCGATCGCTGCGCCGTGGCCCAAATTGCACACGAAAGGCAGCCAACCAACCGCATGCACTTCCGTGCTCTGCGGTAAAAATGATTTTATGCAAACAGGCAAACTGAAACCGAAACCGAAAGCGAGAAGCGAAATTGGCATTCGTTAGGCGTTGCTAATAATTGAAAATCTCCGAAAAAGCCCAATCCCAACCGGAGACCGCAGCGAAAACAAGTTGTTTCCATCGTTGG